GCTCCCCACTGAGCAGGGAGCCAGATATGGAACTCCATCCCAGGACCCTGGGATCATGACTCAAGCCACAGGCAGACACTTAACCAACTGAGAAACCCAAGCACCCCAGAGTAGGCGATCTTAATAGGTAGATTACCTCATCTTCCTTTGGAGGATGGAGAGGCCCATGTGATAGATTACCTCATTGGTACTGACCAAAAAATTTTGACTGTTAAGGCTACGTATCTGGGAGAGGTTGAAACTGCAATTAGGTTAGGTATTAAACCCCATTTGGTGACTTGACTTAGCATAAGTGACTCCATTTTGGGTCTCTGGTTTTCCTTTAATCCAAGGGATTGAATATTTTGCCTTTTTCCTTATTAGTTTGCATTTCATTGTGTATTCAGTGAACCATCTCTTCAGAAGTTGGATCCATCACTAAATTCCATTGGCATCTTGTACCTTTAGCCCCTGACTATAGCGCAACTGCTGCTCTAGACCATGGGTGACTGTGTGGCCACACAGAAATCAAAGGTTCTTCATCCCTCACCTTTTCATCCTTTCTCTTCTAAAACCACATGTTTCTGCGAGCCAGGACCAATCTAGCAAATCCCACTTCACTGACACCAGCTCTTTTAAGGTTCTGAATAGCCAGTTTCAACATAGGGAGAAATATAAGTTAATTAAGCTGATTCATCAAGATTAGAAAAAACTGGAGAGTACATTAACTATTAAATAAGTTGAATATTTCAGCATCAGCTGGCCATGAGTACTACCAAAAATTCAAGGAAAAAATAATTAGTCTTAAACAAACACTTCTAAAGACTAGAAAGGAAAGAACACTCCATAAAAATATCATATGTTTAACATGACTCCGATATTAAGAAAGGAAAATTAAAAGGCAATATCACTCATTGACGTAAATTAGAGGGAGAAAAATATCACCATTGTCTTTATAGATACAGAAAAAACATTTGTTAAATTTTTTTTTTATTATGGAGTAAAAATCTCCTTAAACTAGGAATAAAAGGAAATTTTCTTTTTTTTAAATATTTTATTTATTTATTTGACACACACAGAGAGAGAGAGATCACAAGTAGGCAGAGAGGCAGAGAGAGAGGAGGAAGCAGGCTCCCTGTTGAGCACAGAGCCTGATGCGGGGCTTGATCCGAGGACTCTGGGTTCACAACCTGAGCTGAAGGCAGAGGCTTAACCCACTGAGCCACCCAGGCACCCCAAAAGGAAATTTTCTTAATCTTTAAATGATATAGGGTGGCTGGGTGGCTCAGTTTGTTAAGACTCTGACTCCTGATTGTGGCTCAAGTCATAATCTCAGGTTGGGGAGATCAAGCCCCATATTAGGCTCTGTGCTGGTCATGGAGCCTGCTTAGGATTCTCTCTCTCCCTTTCCCCCTTCCCCACCTCCCCAGCCCTGCTCACACGTGCAAGTGCATGTGCACACACCCACGTACACGTGTTCTCTCTCAGTAAGTAAACAAAAATAATAAAAAGCTTTAAATGATGTGAAAACATTTACAGCAAAACACTTACTTGTAAGATGTTAAAATCTTTCCTCTAAAATTAGAAACAAGACAAAAGCCCACTTTAGTATCTAGTTAATATTGCACTGTAGGTTTTGGCTAGCATTATAAGTCAAAGAAATACAAGTCATCTGGATAACAGAGGAAGAAGCAAAGTTGTTATTATTTGCATATGATGTTAAGGAGTACACAGAGAATCCAAAGTACCTGCAGATAAAATGTTATAGTTAAAAATAGTTTAATAGGGTTGCAGAATTTGAAAAATCAATACCAAATTAGTGTATTTTACAAATGGAACAAAAAGAAATTGACATTTTAAATCGAGATGTGATTTACAATCATAAAAAATCAAGTAGCTAGGAATAAGTATAACTGATGAAGTGTAAGACCTATGTTGGGGAAATTACATAATTTTATAAAGAGATATTAAGATGACTTACATAAATGGAAAAATATATAATGTTTGTGAATCAGAAGATTGAATATTTTAAAGTTATCAATTCTCTTCTCCCCCAAGACATTACTTTAAACATTAAAACATTACTGTGACATTACTTAGAAATTTGTATGAAAAAATAAAAGTCAATAATAGCTAGGAAGCTATTAAAAAGAAAAAAGAACAGGAAGAAGAAACCTACCCTGGGGAGTTGCATTCTTGGTTTAGGCTCTTGTATTGATCTCAGGGTTGTGAGATCAAGCCCTACATGGGCTCTAAGTTCAGAGTAGAGTCTGCTTAAGACTCTCTCTGCCCCTATGCTAGTGGGCTCTCTCTATCTAATAAATAAATAAAGCTTTAAAAAAAAGAAAAGGGGGGGGGTACCTGGGTGGCTCAATCTGTTTAGTGTCTGCCTTTGGCTCAAGTCATGATCTCAGGGTCTTGGGATTGAGCCCCGTCTCATGCTCCCTGCTCAGTGGGGAGTCTGTTTCTCCCACTCCCTCTGCTGCTCCCCCTGCTCATGAGCTCCCTCTCTTTCTCTCTGATAAGTAAAATAAAATCTTTTTTTATTTATTTTTTTAAAGATTTTATTTATTGGGGCGCCTGGGTGGCTCAGTGGATTAAGCTGCTGCCTTCAGCTCAGGTCATGTTCTCAGGGTCCTGGGGTTGAGCCCTGCATCGGGCTCTCTGCTCAGCAGGGAGCCTGCTTCCCTTCCTCTCTCTCTGCCTGCCTCTCTGCCTACTTGTGATCTCTGTCTGTCAAATAAATAAATATTTTTAAAAAAATATTTTATTTATTGGGGCACCTGGGTGGCTCAGTGGGTTAAAGCCTCTGCCTTCGGCTCAGGTCATGATCCCAGGGTCCTGGGATCGAGCCCCGCATCGGACTCTCTGCTCGGCAGGGAGCCTGCTTCCTCCTCTCTCTCTCTGCCTGCCTCTCTGCCTACTTGTAATCTCTGTCAGATAAAATAAATAAAATCTTTTAAAAAAAAGATTTTATTTATTTATTTGGCAGAGAGCGAGATCACAAGTAGGCAGAGAGGCAGGCAGAGAGAGAGGAAGGGAAGCAGGCTCCCTGCTGAGCAGAGAGCCCGCTGCTGCTCTTGATCCCAGGACCCCGGGATCATGACCTGAGCCGAAGGCAGAGGCTTTAACCCACTGAGCCACCCAGGCACCCCAGCTTTATAGGCTTCTTAAGAACAACACTTTATTGAGAGAAATTCTGCCAGTCTTGGAGCAGCAAGGAATAATGAGGCTTACTTTAGTTGTAACCAGAATGACCCTCTATTCCAGATGGCTGAAGAACAGGTATTCAATTCCAAGCATGTGGGGATCAGATGAACTATGGTTTTTTGTTTGTTTGTTTTTGTTTTCTGGGTTTTTTCTTCAGTGCTTAACATATACATATGATATGGTTTAATAAAATTGCTTTTCTTATGTTTCATTGCTTTATACAGTCACACCTCATACACACTCATCAATAAAATTCCCTGATGGCCAATACCAAATTCAGAAGGTTCAAACATTGTAAAAGACTGACAAGGAGTTATAGACCCTGAGGTAAATTTCAGGATGGGTCAGCCCTATTCACTGTGGAGTGCAAGTACTAGGTTCTGTCTAGTTCAGCCTGAGAGGAGAGCGTTTCATGTCTGAGTACTGTCATTAACCACCAAAAAGTGAACAAAAGTTCTCTTGGCTTTGGCATTTTCTGTTGCCCTGAAAGGGGTTCTGACCGGTGGGTGGCAGAGAAGACATGAATAATCCAAAATGCATCAATAGCTCCATCCCATTCGTCCATTCCTCAACCTAAAACCCAGTAGATGGCATACCTGGGTGGCTCAGTCTGTTGAGCGTCTGCCTTCGGCTCACGTCATGAACCTCGCATCCTGAGATCGAGTCCCCATGTCAGGTTCCCTGCTCTGTGAGGAGTCTGCTTCTCCCTCTCCCAATGACCCTCACCCCTGCTTCTGCCCTCACTCCTGCTCTCTCTCTCTTAAATGAATAAAATCTTAAAAAAAATAAAGCTCAGCAGAGGGAAAGCTCTTTGGGAGGGAAGAAGAGGGAAAGTTGGTATAGATGAAGGCTGTGCTACTTCCCAAAGGCCTCATGCTTTAGGCCACATCTAACTAACAGTGCAGAATATGGTCCCACTTTGAAAATGAATGCCAGAAAGAGAGCATCTTGAACTGATGAATCTATCCTGAAATTAATAATGCACACTATGTCAGCTGAGTTTAAATAAAACCCAAAAAAGATGCTTTCTAAATATATCTAAAGATATATATGAACATATATATAGCCATCAGAAAGGATGAATACAATTTGCATCAACATAGATGGGACTGGAGGGGATTATGCTGAGTGAAATAAATCAAGCAGAGAAAGACAATTATACAGTTTCACTCATATGTGGAACATAAGGAATAGCATGGACCACAGGGGAAGGGAGAGAAAACTGAATGGGAAGGAATCAGAGAGGGAGACAAACCATGAGAGATTCTGGACTCTGGGAAAAAAACAAGGTTACAGAAGGGAGGGGGCGTAGGGGGGACAGGGTAACCGGGTGATGGGTATTAAGGAGGGTATGTGTTATGATGAGCACTGGGTGCTATACACAGCCAATGAATCATTGAACACTACATTAAAAATTAATGATATACTATATGTTGGCTAACTGAACATAAAAAATAAAAACAATTCTAAAAAAACAAAAAACATATGTATATATAAATGTATATATATATATATATATATATAGAGAGAGAGAGAGAGAGAGAGAGAGAAAACATCTTGGGAAAATGCAGGATGCTTATTCTGAAATTTTAACTCAAGAATGTGGAAGCCACACCAGTATACAGGTATACTGTCCTCTTAAAAATCTAGATGGTTATTTCAGATTTCAAGTACCACACAAAACCTTTTTTAAAACTTTAATTGCCTAGTATAGTGAACATGTTAAGCAGAGTTTTAGAGACCCTACATCTCAAATGGATTAAGCCGTCATTTATGACCATCTTCATGAAACATGGTTAACTCTTTCTGGTGATATGGATTAAACATGAAACCAAACTGTTTTACTCACAACAGATAACAGACTAAACTGCATGTACCTGTACAGGTTTATACAAGAGCCATGATGGAACTATATTTTTCATTTCAGATCAGGGTCATAGGCCACCTGCTCACTATGTCTATCTCACCAAACACAAGAGCAGCCATCTTTCTATTTAATACAATTATGGGTGGAAATCATAGGATGTAAAATAGTTCTTCTGTAAAGTTTAGAAGAAGGGAAGACAAAAAATTCCCATGAGGTAAAAAATAATTCCACAGTGGTCCAGGGCTCCATGAAACCTGAGATAAACTAGTCCTCTAAGGCATTTGCGTGGATCCAGTTCACCGGGACCCTTCAGTATGCTTCAAACTGGCTCATCATCATTCTCCTGCTATATTCATAAGCCAGAAATAGTGACCCATTGGCAGGGAGCGCTCGAATCATAGTAGCGGTCAGTCCAGAATATAATGCTGCTATTCCTTCATTTTTCACAATACTTACAAGAGTTCCCAGAAACCCAGCCTGTTTTCCAGACATGGAAAGAACTTGAATTCTGGATTTGATACAATCCACTGGGTAGATGACAAGCCAAAGACAGATTCCAGCAATTCCACCACTTAACATCAAGGGGACAGGGCCCAGTTCATCTTTTGATCTGCCTGAGGCAAAAAATGATCTACTCAGTTCATAGCCCCCGAAGAAGAAGAAATAGCCTGGAACTTCTTGAAGGAGAGTGCTGGAGAGTCCTTGGTAGAAGCCCAACGGGCCTTCCTCTCTGAGGATACCTTTCACGACGGACCAGATTGTATTGTGGCTTTTTACTATTTTGCCCGACCTCTCCATTTCGTACATGGTCTGTAGTCGGCACTTTACAAGCTCAGTGGGGCACAGGGCCAGCGCAGCAAAGGCGGAGGCAAAGGACCCCGCAGTGGCCGTCTGCAGATCACTCAGCTTCGCCTGCCTGTCCAGTCCAACCACTTTCCTCACGAACTCTTGGCAGAAGCCGTAGCACATGAAGAGGACAGAGTTCTCGGCGACGTAGGCCATCAGCGCAGGGCCCGTTCCCTTGTAGAAGCCCCGCAGGCCCACCTGGGAGTACGTTTTCAGGCAGCAGTCGGCGAGACCCTTGTACAGGCCGGGGAACGTCTGCATCTTCACTTTCACTGTGTCGAAAGGCTGCCCGGTCAGGACACAGGCCGTGCCCCCTACCGCGCCCGCTGTCAGGTCGATAGCGGCCTGGATGGCAGGACTGGACTTCATGTTCCCTCACATTCTCCGGCTGGTCTCTGGGGGAGGCAGCTCTCTGGAGCCCCAGGCAGGTGTCACACCCCAGCCCCCCGTTCTCGACTCTCCCTCCTCGGCGGGAGAAGCCGCTTAACCCCACGCTAGGTCTCGGGCGCTCTCCCCGTGCACTGAAATAACCTCCAGCGGGCGGGCTCACGCGGGGCCTCCAGCGCGCCCTGCCGCCCGCCGCCGCTGCCGCCACCCGGCCCTCCCAGCTCCCGCCGGCCCGGGGCACCCGCTGAGTACACACTTTTCTTTTTCTTTTCTTTTCTTTTCTTTCTTTTCTTTTCTTTTCTTTTCTTTTTTTTTCTTTTCTTTCTTTTCTTCTCTTCCTTTCTTTCTTTTCTTTCCTTCCTTCCTTCCTTTCTTTCTTTCTTTCTCTTTCTTTCTTTCTTTTCTTTTCTTCCTTCCTTTCTTTTCTTTCTTTCTTCCTTCCTTTCTTTCTTTCTTTCTTTCGTTCGTTCTTTTCTTTCAAAAAATTAAGTTGACTCCACGCTGGAGCCCAACGCCGGTTGAACTCTTGAACTCACGACAGTGAGATGGAGACCGGAGCTGAGCTCCACAAGAGTCAATTGCTTAACCGACTGAGCCGCCCAGGCGCCGTGTAAGTACACACGTTTAATGAATTATAATACAGCGATTGAAAGCTGTTCGCTAAATTCTTGCAATTACCGCCAGAGACTCGAGGCGCCGCTGTTAACAAGCCTGGACAGAAACGCTTTATTTTTCGGCTAGCCCCCGCCCTCTCCCCAGGTTTCTCACTAGGCAAAACAAAAGGGGATAAGTTCCTAGCGGAGGCAGCCTGGGGTCAAAGGTCAAATATACAGAAACAGATTTAAGACAGGGAAGACAAACTACTGGCGAGGGGTGATATTTACATAACAATTGGGGGCTGCTTTTGATCAGAAAACCCTTAAAGTCTCTAGGACAGCAATGCCAGTTCTGCAGCGACTCTTCCCTCCACCAGCGACGCTGCGGGGTTAGGGGAGGTGCGGGAGAAGGGTGGAGCCTGAGACCCTCAGATCTGCCCCGTCCTGCCTGTGGTGCTGGGAGAATGGCTACTTCCGCGGCCACATCGCCAAGGATCTGGGGTTGGAGCCCTGGGAGCTGGTGGCTCCGAGCCCTCATCATTTCTAGAGTTAGGACATGGCGTTTTACAATTGGCGTGGAAAACAGGTTATTTTTTTAAGTCTCTAAGAAAAGAGCTGTGTGGCTCCAGCGCCCTCTACTGGCGTAAGTTTTGAGGTTCTTGAGGAGTCAGAGCCTGAGGCAGCTGCGAAAGATGGGGATATAAATGACAACGGGCCCAGCTTCCAAAGCAAGTTGGGGTTTTGGACATTAGCTTGAGGATACCCCTGTCAGGACACACTTTTACCTTCCAGATATATGCTCATAATCCCAGCGTTAGGACGAATTCTCTTAAGGTTTCCATTCTAAAGGGGCGTCGGTGTTTTACTTTGAGGGTAAAACTAAAACGGAGGGGGCAGGAGGTAGGCTGAAATGATTCTCCCTTCGGAAAGCTTTCCTTGTGTGATTATCTTTGGATGTCAACTGATATATAAAAGTGAGGCACTGAAAAGCAGATGGTGCGTGGATAATTTGCCAACAGATAGACGTCATCGTAGTAAACAGTTACCTGGCCTTTTCCTTGAAGAATGCCCAAATGTCAGTATTTGATTTCTTTTCTCTGCAACACATGGTTTCTTCAGAGAATAATCTTGAAATCTTAACTCTTTGTGTGTGATGTAAGGCCTAGATACTGATTTAATGAGATTGAGAATGGGGGAAGAGGGGTGAGATTACTACAGTAAAGTATATAGATTTTCACATAATTTTCTTGTTTGATCCCATACATTCCTTTATCTGTGCCTGCTTTCTCTTAGTTTGAGCCTTTGGTTTAATTTACCTAGAAAATAAACATCTGTGGAATGGGGAAGGTGCATGTACTTCAATGAACCCCATATGTCCTTCCAGGTACCTTTCTCCCTTCCTTGGAAACTTCTGCATGCAAACACTGAGTTTTTCCACAGGTTCTATATCAAGTGGGTTTTTCTTTCTTTGGTATACTGCTTTTCAGACATTTAGCATGTAACTTTCTCTGAAAGTTAATTTGTCAGTCATTCCTCTGCTTTGGCCTTCTGAAAATAGGATGACATTCTTCATTCACTGGCTCATCTCTTATTCTTTTTGACCTTGAGATTTTTTATTATCTTGGTAAACTTTTTGACAGAAAAAAGAGCTGTGTGAGAACACTGCCATTTTACACTAGAAAAAGATTTTAAAATTCTTCATGTTGAGGAATAGTTAATAGTTGAGGGATTTTAAAAAAATTTATTATACTTTTTTAAAGTAAACTTTACCTCCAGTTGGGGTTAGACCTCACCAGCCCAAGATCAAGGGTTGCATGCTCTATGACTGAGCCAGCCAGCTTCCCTGAGGGATTTTTTTTGTTTTGTTTTGATATTACCCTCAGGAAAGTCAAGAAGAAAAAAAGTATTTTAATATTTATTGTGGAGGCTCTATCAAGTTATCTAGAAGTGTTTTCAATAGTTCAACGACCACTGATTGTCAATTAGTTACATCTCGTTCATTGTTTATTTAAAAAACACATAATGAGTTTTTACAAACACAAGACATACAGGAAACTGCAATAAATCATAAACTGCTTTTGCATTAAGTTCACACATATGTTTTGGAGAAGCCAAATTAGTGATCCAGGCCAGGGATCACAAGGGCATTAATAGGGAAATGGTCTATACCTTAAATTGCCAGACATAATTGCATAAATAGTAGAGACTAAGATCAAGTTCTATGATTTTAACTAAACTGCTGGACTTGGAGAGAACAAATTCCAGCATGTATTATATCACTGCCCTAGATAATAGGTAAGCAACTGAAATCATTTTTTTTATTCCAACCAAAATGATAATGCTTCTTGTTTTAAACTGGAGCACTTCTTCTCAAGGCAAGAAAACAATGGCAAAGAATTTCCAGATTTTTAAAAAATATTTTATTTGTTTATTCGACAGAGAGACACTGTGAGAGAAGAAAGACAAGCAGGGGGAATGGGAGAGAGAGAAGCAGGCTTCTAGATGAGCAGGAAGCCTGATGTAGGGCTCGATGAGGGGGTATCCATTGTGGGGGCACCATGAGGGGGGCTCTACGCGGGTCTTGATCTCAGGGCCCTGGAATCATGACCTCCGCAAAAGGCAGAGGCCTAATGACTGAGCCACCCAAGCGCCTGGAATTTCCAGTTTTTCATTGAAGACCACTACCCTCGACAAGATGAATGCCCAAATCACATGCTCCCTAGCTGTTAGACTGAACGGCCAGATAGGATTACTAGAGAAGTAGGGTGTGAGCTAAGGCCTGAATGGCAAAAAAGACAAACAGGAGAATATCTGGAGACTGTTCCAGGAAAAGGGAACTGTACCTGCTAAATGAAGCTCTGAGTTGAGAAAGATTGGCATTTGAGGTACAGGAAAAAAGTCCAGTATGACTGCTGTGTAGTGAGCAGTCTTCCCACTCTATATTTTCACATAGAATTCTTACTGGGTAATAAAAGATAACCAGAGTTTAAGACACAGTCCTTCAAAGACATGAATTGTCACAATTTTTCTAAATTTTCATCTCAAATAAAAATTTTATCTGCAAATTAAAAACGTCAGGCCTTATGACACTTAGAACTGAACATAAAGATCCCATTTACCTAATCTGTAGATATAACAAAAATTGGATGTTGATAGGGATGTTTTTTGCAATATTTGCTATAATTAAAAAATTTTAAAGGGAACAACCTGAGTGATCAGCACTAGGGGAGTGGATAAAATGTTTTTTAAAAATCTATATCATGGGGATGCCTGGGTGGCTCAGTGGGTTAAGCCTCTGCCTTCGGCTCAGGTCATGATCTCAGGATCCTGGGATGGAGTCCCACATCAGCCTCCCTGCTGAGCAGGGAGGCTGCTTCCCCCTCTGTCTCTGCCTGCTGCTCTGCCTAGTTGTGATCTCTCTCTCTTTGTGTGTCAAATAAATAAAATCTAAAAAAAAAAATCTGTATCATGGGATGACTGGGTGGCTCAGTCAGTTAAGTGTCTGCCTTTGCCTCAGGTCATGATCCAGGGTCCTGGGATGGAGTCCTAGCATCTGGCTTCTTGCTCAGTGGGGAGCCAGCTTCTCCCTTTGCTTGCCACTCTCCAGCTGTTGTGCTCTCTGACAAATAAAGAAATAAAACCTAAAAAGAATAAAAATAAAAAATAAAAATCTGTATCTTGAACAGAAGCAGTAAATCTATGTATCCTAATAGGGAAGGATACTTACATTTTTGAGTCATAAAATTTTTTATTTGTGCCTACAACAAAATCATATATATTTTTTGCTTTTCAAAACTGCAAAAACATATATAATTAAATGTATACCAAAGAAAGGCCTGGAATGATAGATCTCAAAATGTTAACAGATTACTTTAGGAAGTTAGTGTGAAAGGGACTTTACTTTTTGTCTTTTTAAAATCTCTGCACTGTTTAACGTTAAAAAACTAGCCCAACTACAAACCATACTCATTAGCCAAGGGAACTGTGAGAAAAATGAGTCCTTTTGTTAACACAGGACTTACTTTAAGGAAAATGGATCCCAATCTTCTTTTTCTCTTTAAGTTTGCATAAGAGATTAATTACTCTTATGGAGTTCTCAGTATTAATACAAAGCCAAACTATTACTAAATCAAGTAAAAAAGTTGTTGTAGTTAGCTGGGTCAGTTTGTTTACACTGTAGGTATATTTGAAGAAATTGTTTCAGTTGTAATTAGATTCTTTGATTTGAAATCAGCTACTTAAAATGGCTTTAATTATACTTTTCTTTCTGATCACTTTTGAATTCAAGTAATTATTTCATCCCACTTATGTTCAGACAGTAGTAGTTTGCTTTTATTGTTAATAACACAGGTGCCTGCTTTTATTAATTTACTAAATTTCAGGCATTGTTCTAAGTCCTTTATTTGTACCAACTCAAGAGCCAAGAGCCAACAACTCAACAGTCCTATGAGGTATGTAGTGTTATCACCTTCATTTTAGTGATGAGAACAGTAAGAAAAACAGATTAAGTTACTTG